TCATAACCCCCGATGATTCCAAGCGCATGATTCTCAACGACCCCCGAATAGCCCATGCATATGGCCTCCCAAAGGTGCACAAAGAAGGTGCGCCATTAAGGATCATAGTGCCGCTTATTGGATGGCCCACCTACAACCTCGCTAAATGGTTATACAGGCACTGAAGCACCTCGCCAACGGCTCACAATACAGCATTAAAAACTCTCAGGCATTGCTCCAGAAGATCCAAGGCCTCAAAGTAAGTCCTGATGAGTGTATTCTATCGTATGATGTGATTGCCCTGTTTTCCTCAATACCACATGACCTGGCGATTGAGAGCGTAACCCGACGCCTGCAAGATAATCCAACCAGAATTCCAACACAACACGCTTCAGAGATGCTTAAACTCTGTCTCAATAATTACTGCCAATTCGATGAAAAGTTTTATCCACAGGTTAGGCCTACACCAATGGGATTGCCAATATCAGGTCTACTAGCTGAACTAGTACTACAACAACTAGAAAAGGAAGTTATGCGAACCTTTAAACCAAAAATGTTGCTCCGATACGTAGATGATACGTTTGTTATCATGAAGACCTGCGAAACTGAACAATTTCATCTGAGTCTGAATAGCGTCTTCCCAGCTATCCAGTTTACTCGCGAAGAGACGACAGGAGGCATTCTCCCGTTTCTAGACGTTAGTATCCAAACACTCAGTGATGGCGGCCTTGCAACGAGCGTCTACCGAAAGGACTCCGGTGCTGACGTCATTCTTAATTACGAAAGCAACCATCCTGCGGCTCATAAAAGGAGTTGTCTCCGAACCCTTTTCCACCGGGCTTATCGTTACTGCAGCAACGATGATTTACTTAAGAAAGAACTTGCTTTCCTGTATCAGTTATTCCGACTCAACGGATACCCGGTCAGTTTTGTGAAAAATTGTCTCAGACAACAGAGACAGCCACAAGACGTTAGTTCTAATGAGGGACCCGAGCAACGGAAATTCTACTCTTTACCCTGCATGCAGGGTATTTCCGAGGCGGTCGCCCCACAACTAAACCGGTTTGATATCTTCGTTGCCCACAAGCCGGCGTCCTCCCTGCGCGCAACGCTGTCCCGTGTGAAAGATCCTTTGTCCAAAGAGCAGCAAACCAATGTCATCTACCGAATGCCGTGTGCTAACTGCTCTTGTGACTATGTTGGTCATACAGGCCGACGACTTGGGACGCGAATAAACGAACATAAACTAGCCATCAGGCGACGTGACCTTTTATCGCTCGTGTTTGCGCACGCCTTTGAATGCCACCATCGCTTCAATTGGGACGGAACTGAATTTGTTGCCATGGCAAACACCAAACAGGCTCGAGAATTGCTCGAAGCCTGGCACTCCACCACAACTAGCATCAATCGCCATGTCGATCTGGACGCTCATTACGAAGGTCTGCGTGCTCGGCTCACTGACTTGCACCCACGACCTAACAACAGCCGCTAATCCATACCGGACCCTGTATAATCGGACTATTTCGCCACCCCTCCTGCCCCAGACACAGCGAGTCGCAACCTTAATCCCTAGCACCTCTACGTTGGATCCCTGGCTCCTACCCGCATGCCGGAACGACAATCATTAAGTCCACCGTCCGAAGTCACATTAAATCGTCATTCCACCCCCCCCCTACCCTCTAACACAGGGAGCCGCAACAGTTCCCTTTTTCCTCCCCCACCACAGACCCTAGCCTAATTATGTCTCCATCCCCCTTTCATACATTAATTGCTTACCTATTAGTGGCTGCCGTGTCACGCCAACCAATTTGGTCTGACCATTTCACTTTCTCCTATGTTTATTTCGTCTGACGACGGGTTGGTGTTACCAGCTCGAAAATTCACGAGTACAACTCGATTTTATCCGACAAGTCTTCTATCTTCATGTGCTTCCGAAGAGCCTGTCCTACAGGCCACCGGTGAACACACGTCTGGCGAAACGGTGGGTGGCTGAACATGGCAGGCGAATGATTCGGGCGCTTCTCCAAGATTGCCATCTTCGACTGCGTAAATACAACAGGGGTTTGAGCCAGGCGGTTACAAAGTGCGTTGAACTCATCGGTGAGGACGGAGTCACGCATTCGCAACAAGTGATTAATAAACGGGCCAGAAACCTGCGAGCAACAAGAGATGCCGAGCTGGCGGTCAAGCTCCAGAGTATAAGCCATTCATCTCAAGAGGAGAACGAAGTCCTGGTGCACAACATGTCCTCTAAGCAACTGATCCCTGCACAAATGAAAGCGCTGAGTCATGAGGCCTGCTTTAACACCACAGACGCCGATCCGGTCAATCTCGTGGCCACGGTTGAGTCGATTCTCAAACAAACCGGGGAATCCGACGAAACAAAGCAACTCATTCGACAGCAGGTAACCTCCTTGGCGATGGCGCACAAACCACGTGCAACCATTACCAAGGCCGAGCAGAGTGCTCTCAAGACACTGAGGGCTGACACCAGCATCGTGATTCTACCAGCAGACAAAGGGCGCTCCACAGTTGTGATGGATAAGGCAGACTACATTCAGAAAGCCAATGCCCTACTGGAGGACCGACAGGCGTACCTACCATGTAACGATGAACCGATGAGGAGGCTGGTGACGCAACTGGACAAGACACTCGCCGACATGCAAACTAGCAAGACAATAAATAAATCGGTACGACTGGCCATTAAGCCAGTAGACGCGGCCGCACCACGCTTTTACGGACTGCCAAAGGTACACAAAGCCGGGGTGCCATCCGGCCAATCGTATCATTGCGCGGCACACCTACATTCAATTTGGCTAAATGGATGTTCAGAAACCTGAGGTCTCTCACCTCGGACGCGGGCACGACGGTCTGTTCAGCGACTCAGTTCCTGGAGCGGATCAAAGGGATGAGACTTACCGAAGACGAGGTCATGGTGTCATTCGACGACACTTCTCTTTTCACTTCGATTCCGCAAGACCTGACAGTCGAAACGGTCAGCGAGCTGCTCGAGAGTCAGAACGACGAGACGGGCGTGACGATAAAACGGAGACATCTGGTCCAATTGCTGAGATTCTGCCTGAAGACGTACTTTACTTTCGAGGGCACGACCTACGAGCAGGTCAAGGGGACGCCAATGGGATCGCCGCTCTCGGACTTCATCGCAGAGGCAGTTCTCCAAAAAGTAGAAACCCTAGTTTTCTCAACCTATAAGCCGAAATTTTGGGCTCGATATGTCGATGATATCTTCGTTATCATTGAGCGGCAAATGGTCAAGGAATTCCATGATGTCCTGAACTCTGTTTTCTCTGACATCCAGTTCACAATGGACGCGGAAGCCAACAATCAACTGCCGTTCCTGGACGTTCTCGTCCATCGAAAACCCAATGACACCTTAAAACGACGGTATATAGGAAGGCCACTAATACGCGCCAAATCCTGAGCTTCCACAGTAAACACCCGTTGTGCCACAAACGCAGTTGTGTGCGAACACTCTACAGAAGGGCAGAAACACACTGCAGCGAGCCGGACGACAGAAAGTCAGAACTACGCTACCTCCAGCGCCTCTTAATGTCCAACGGGTATCCGCGCAACTTCATCAAACGCGGCAGACAGGCCGGACTGAGCCGACGTTTGGAAACAGAACGGCCAAAAATATGGCGGGCGCTTCCATACATCGATGGCTTTTCTGAGGCGGTCCCCCGTCTCTTAAGACCGCTGGGGATCGGCATCGCCCACCGACCGGAGTCAACAATTCGACATCTGGTCATGAGACCTAAGGCCCCTCTGCCACCGGGTGAAACAACGGACGTCATCTACCGGATCCAGTATAACTCCTGTGAAGCCAACTACATTGGGGAGACGGGCAAACGACTACAGACCCGTGTTGGAGAACACATGAGGGCAGTAAGGCGAATGGACCCTTTGTCTCTGATGGCCGAACACTGCGCCGATTCCGGACACACGTTCGCCTTTCAGCATGTCAAAATTCTGGGCCGAGTAAGCGACTGCATATCCAGGGAAACAATCGAGGCTTGGCACACAGGGACAGCCTCCATCAACCGTTGTGTGTCTCTTCCCGCTGCCTATCAAGCCCTTCGAGCGCAGCTCAGTAAAAAAACGAGCAGACGTGAACCCAGGCTAAACATGAATCCAGACATAGGCGAGTCCATGGCGGATGCACACCCAGTCACCCCTCAACCTGGTTCCGACGAAGGCGCAGTCGTCACCACAGCCGTTCCATCTACTAGTCCGGCGGACGAGAAAACGGACAGTCGTTGCGGCGTAAACAAGATTGCCAGCCTTGGACGACAGTTAAGGTCAATGAGGGTACGGGCGACGACCACCAACGTCTCAACGCCGGCCCCCGATGTAGATTAAGTACTTCCCGTCACCCTTCCTCCCCCCCCGTCCGCTACAGTCCCTGTGTGCATGCGCTGGTGACCACTAAAGCTGATCCACCGCCCCCCCCTTCATCCGGCGAGAAGACCTTCTAGGACTCCCTCCCCGCCCCTTCCTCCCTGCTGCCCTGATTTCGTATGTATGAACAAAACCCGTCTTGACATGACTGTCGCCCACCTATAAATACTGTGATGCGCGATACCATACTCACCTCCGACGATGGAAGCTAGTATGCTACTGAAACGTCAGGACAGTAAAACTATGGTTCCCGAGATCGTCTTTTCTTCTCATATATATATATATATATATAAACGCCTGTCTTGTCGATGTAACCTCGATGTCCCCCTGACTCCCCAGTAGGATTATCTCCCTCACACTTTTCATTTTCGTCTGACGACGGGTTGGTGTAACCGACTTGAAAATTCACGAGTATACCTCGATTTTCCGACGAGCCTTCTCCTTTTATTATATCGCCTCGGAATGCATACTACCTCCATTATTCATCATAATTTTGGGCGTCATACGCTTATTATTACCAGACGCTGGGAGAAATTCTCACAGAGACAGGCGACGACATCCGAGCAACTGACTTTCCTTCACCGCTGTCGCGATCATGGCACCTTACCGAAGTCCCTTCGCTTCAAGCCCACTCTACCAAATGAGACAGGAAGGCTACTCGCACGCAAATACGGATTCCGTGTATTGAGTGCCATTATATCAGACGTGCACCACCGACTTTCTAGATTTGAGACAATAATCTCCGACCTTAAGAACCAGTGCTTCTCATCCTTACCCGAAGATATCTTCGAAGCCATACTACAACGTATAAATGCGACCTCAACAGATGCCAGAATGAAGAAGCGAGCCGAGTTGAATGATAAACTGCAATCCCTTCTCTGTCCTACCGACAAATGCAGCATGTCTGCGAGAGTCGTTAACCTTTCGAAAAGGAGTCTAACACCCGCCGAGATAAGCCTACTGTCTAAAGGACTTAAATTCAATCATACCGATGCAGCACCAACAAACTTCCTAGCGAGTCTTGAATCCGTCCTACTGGCTTCTGCTATCCCTGAAGACGTGCGTGCGGACATACGCAGTTGTGCCAGTGGTCTTCTTCGACAGAGGAAACGTCACCGTAACTTGACCGTCGATGAAGAAAAAGGGTTTCGATCTCTGAAGACTGATGACAGTATCGTGGTTGTACCTGCTGACAAAGGAGGCGCAACCGTCATCATGGACAAGGTTGATTACGTTCGAAAAGCAAACACTATCTTTAATGACAGGGAAGCTTACGCACAACTCGCTGAGGATCCGACGAAGAAGCAGGCCGCGGTTATAAAGAAGAAGGTGAATGAACTCGCGCGACTGAAGCTGATTAACCCAAATGACTCCAAATTAATTACTCTCACTGACCCCCGTATCGCGCATGGCTATGGCCTTCCAAAAGTGCACAAACCAGATGCACCGTTGAGGATGATAGTGCCACTCATCGGGTCGCCCACTTACAACCTAGCCAAATGGCCTTACAGGCATCTGAAGCACCTCGCTGATGGATCACAATACAGCATCACAAATTCTCAGGCATTCCTTCAAAGGATTGAAGGTCTTAAAGTAAGTCCTGATGAAAGTATTCTATCATTTGATGTTGTCGCATTGTTTTCCTCAATACCACATGACCTTGCCATTGAGAGCGTGGCCCATCGCTTACGAGACAATCCCATCGACCTTCCAACACATCACGCTCTAGAATTGCTTAAGCTCTGCCTCAATAACTATTGCCAATTCGATGGCAAATACTACCAGCAGGTTAAGGGCACCCCAATGGGTTCGCCAATTTCGGGGCTACTTGCAGAACTAGTCTTACAACGACTAGAACAAGATGTTGTGCAAAGTTTCCAACCAAAAACGTGGCTCAGATACGTAGATGACACATTTGTCATCGTTAAGACCTGTGAAGTTGAGCGATTTCACCAGAGCTTGAATGGCGCCTTCCCAGCACTACAATTCACTCGTGAAGAAGCAAAAGGAGGCACCTACCCGTTCCTAGACGTGAGCATACAAAAGCTCAGTGACGGCGGCATCGCAACAAGCGTTCATCGGAAAAGCTCTGACGCTGAGATCATCCTGAGCTATCAGAGTAACCACCCAGCAGCCCATAAAAGAAGCTGTGTTCGGACCCTTTTCCACAGGGCCTATCGTTACTGCAGTAGCGCCGATTTACTCAAAGATGAACTGGCCTACTTGCATAGCTTTTTCCGACTCAACGGATACCCGGCGAGCTTTGTGAAAAATTGCCTCAGACGTCAGCAACAACCACAAAACGTCGACTCTAACGGAGACAGGGCATCACGGAAATTCTATTCCCTGCCCTACATGCCGAGAATTTCCGAAGCGATCGCTCGACAATTAAATCGATTCGGCATCTCCATCGCCCACAAACCGGCGTCTTCATTGCGCACGACATTATCCCGGATAAAAGACCCCATACCGAAGGAGCAGCAAACAAATGTCATTTACCGCATTCCATGTTCAAACTGTTCTAGCGTTTATGTTGGGCATACCGGCCGACGACTTGGGACCCGCATTAACGAACATAAGTTGGCCATCCGCCGACGGGACCCCTTGTCTCTCGTGTTTGCGCACTCACTTGAGTGTGATCACCGCTTCAACTGGGAGGGGACCGAAGTGATCGCTAGTGCCAACACCAAACAAGCGCGAGAGTTTCTAGAAGCTTGGCACTCTAATAGCAATAGCATCAACCGCCATGTCGACTTGGACGCTCAATACGAAGGCTTACGTTCACGGTTCGCCGGCTTGCGCCCACCCTAAGCCACCAACTGCTAATCCATGTTCGGCCATGTAGAATAACATGGATTCAGCACCTCCCGCACAGAGTGAACCATGTGTGAAACCCCCAACACCACCCCTAACGTCCGTCACCTATCCAAACACGTTCTTCACCCCCACACATAAACGCCTGTCTTATCGATGTAACCTCGATGTCCCCCTGACTCCCCAGTAGGATTATCTCCCTCACACTTTTCATTTTCGTCTGACGACGGGTTGGTGTAACCGACTTGAAAATTCACGAGTATACCTCGATTTTCCAACGAGCCTGCTCCTTTTATTATATCGCCTCGGAATGCATACTACCTCCATTATTCATATATATATATATATATTTCTGATTGAATGCTATTACCGAAGAACAAAAACCCATAAATACTGTGACGTGCAGTACGCAAACCACCTCCGTCCCAATTGAAGCGGTGGTCATGCTCAATGGCGTGTGCAAACACGAGGGACAGAGGGTCACGTCGGCGGAGGGCTAACTTGTGTTCGTTAATGCGAGTCCCAAGACATCGGCCTGTATGGCCAATATAAACACAAGGGCAGTTGGCACACGGTATGCGGTAGATGACGTTTCTTAGTTGTTCTTTGGGCACCGGTTCCTTTACTCGGCATAATGTCTCGCGTAGGGAAGATGCGGGCTTATGGGCAATGGATATGCCAAAGCGTTTTAGTTGCCGGGAGAGTGCTTCAGAGATTCCCTGAATGTACGGCAGTGAATAGAATTTCTGTGACGCTCTATCTTCATGAGACTCGGGGTTTGGTAGTTGTCTCTGGCGTCTGAGACAGTTCTTTACAAAACTGGCAGGATATCCGTTGGAGCGGAACAACCGATGTAAGTAGGCCAATTCTTTCTTAAGTGCGTCATCACTGTTGCAGGTGCGATAGGCCCGATGGAAAAGAGTGCGGACACAGCTTCGTGTATGGGCTGCAGGATGATTACTCCCATAGTTAAGTATGATTTCGGCACTGGAGTCTTTTCTGTGGACGCTTTAAGCGACTAGAACAGGATGTTGTGCACACTTTCGAACCAAAAATGTGGCTCCGCTACGTGGACGACACATTTGTCATCAAAAAGACCAGGGAAGTTGAGCGATTGCATCAGAGCTTAAATAGCGTCTTCCCGGCTATACAGTTCACCCGCGAAGAAGCAACAGGAGATACCCTCCCCTTCTTAGATGTGAGCATACAAAGACTCAGTGATGGCAAACTATCGACAAGCGCCCATAGAAAAGACTCCAGTGCCGAAATCATACTTAACTATGGGAGTAATCATCCTGCGGCCCATAAACGAAGCTGTGTCCGCACTCTTTTCCATCGGGCCTATCGCACCTGCAACAGTGATGACGCACTTAAGAAAGAATTGGCCTACTTACATCGGTTGTTCCGCTCCAACGGATATCCTGCCAGTTTTGTAAAGAACTGTCTCAGACGCCAGAGACAACTACCAAACCCCGAGTCTCATGAAGATAGAGCGTCACAGAAATTCTATTCACTGCCGTACATTCAGGGAATCTCTGAAGCACTCTCCCGGCAACTAAAACGCTTTGGCATATCCATTGCCCATAAGCCCGCATCTTCCCTACGCGAGACATTATGCCGAGTAAAGGACCCGGTGCCCAAAGAACAACTAAGAAACGTCATCTACCGCATACCGTGTGCCAACTGCCCTTGTGTTTATATTGGCCATACAGGCCGATGTCTTGGGACTCGCATTAACGAACACAAGTTAGCCCTCCGCCGACGTGACCCTCTGTCCCTCGTGTTTGCACACGCCATTGAGCATGACCACCGCTTCAATTGGGACGGCACTGAAGTGATCGCAAAGGCTAACACCAGACAGGCGCGAGAATTCCTCGAAGCTTGGCACTCTGGCACGACCAGCATCAACCGCCACGTCGATCTAGACGCTTATTATGAGGGCCTACGTACACGCTCACTGTCTTGTTCCCACACCTCAACATTTGCTAACCCCCACTCGGCCACATAGACGTATGCTCTTTCGCCATTCCGCTCCCCCCTTGCGACACGGTGAACAACAACCGAAACCCCCCTAACACCTCCAACGCCGGCGCATTGGCCCCTGACCTCATCCCGCATCAGTGACTAGCCGTCCGCATCAGTGGCCAGCCGCCCGCATTCCCGCTGATTCGCAATCCCCATCCCCCCGCGTTTTCACCGCCTCCAACACTGGGAGCCCTAACGGTTCCTCCCTCCCTTCCCCTGCCCCACGGCCTACCATAACTAGGTGCCCACCCCTCTCACACATCTGCTGTCTGTTTGTCGTTGTCTTTCCTGTCGCGCCAGCCGACCTAGTCTGCTGACTTCACTTTCCCTCTGTTCATTTCGTCTGACGACGGGTCGGTGTCACCGACTTGAAAATTTACGAGTACAACTCAATTTTCCGAAGAGCCTTCACTTTCTCATATATACATATATATATATATATCAACATGAGTGAAGATTAAAGGTCCAAATAGATTATCCCGTTTATCATCACCGACGAGTTGAAACACACCGTAATGACAACGACGGGAGAAGGAAGGAAGTGAAGTACTTACATTGCCTATTCACAGCCAATAGTTACACACAATCTTTTATACGTGAATGCCGAAGGACTCACCCTCGAAAGATCTAACGATGAGAAGCCGACGTTCTGACTCACAATCCCCTACATGAGGAATGTTTCTGACTCGGCAGCAAGAATCCTGAGCCCTTCTGGGATTGGGGTGGCCCATAAACCGGAATCCACTATCAGACAGCTGATAATGAGGCCCAAAGACCAGCTACCTGCAACGGAACAATCAGCAGTGGTCTACAGCATACCTTGCCAACATTACAGTTCAAGGTATATTGGTGAAACGGACAAACGCTCCTGCACAAGATTGCACGAGCACCAGCTTGCAGTCAACCGCGAGGATAAGCTGTCACTGGTATATGGCCACATACAACAGGCGAAGCACAGTTTCGCCTTTGGCGAGGCAAGCGTCATCGGCCGAGCCAGCGACAAGTTGGCCAGACTGGTTCTCGAAAGTTGGTCCTCAGTTGACACAATTAACAGAGCCATTGATCTTCATCCGACCTACCAGGCACTTCGTACAAGGCTCCAGTCAGTTCGGACGGGGCCGACAACACTGTCGACCAAATCGCGGCTCTCTCAACAGTTGTTACCTTCACAGCAGGGGGAAAGAGCCAGCCGGGTGTCAGACGACCGACGCGAGACATCGACCCACCGACGCGCCCAAACAGCCGACCACGATTCCCACATGCAACGGCAGCTGATCAGCCGGTAAAATTAAGGGGGGGGTGGATCCAAGGGTACACGGACCTAGCAGCGACAACAGCGACCGGACGGGGATCAGAGGTCACACCAGCGCCCCAGCGGTCGGCCACGGAGAGACCTAAGCCAATCCCCCGCCAGCAGGCAGGTCAGAGTTCATGTAGCAGGCATGCCTATAACACGAGACAGGCGGCGAGACAGAACAACTCTGAGTTAGCAAGAACAAAACACCCTACCACTACTCTGATGATGGAAACGAGGAAGGTTCCGAAACGTCCGCATCAATACAATGAGGTCCATGGCATCGCCTCTTTTTTCTTCTTTGTCTTTTTTCGGGGATGATGAACGGGATATATATATATATATATATATCAACATGAGTGAAGATTCGAGGTCCAGATAGATTATCCCGTTCATCATCCCCAAAAGATGACGAAGAAGAAAAAGAGGCGATGCCATGGACCACACTGTATTGGTGCTGACGTTTCGGAAACTTCCTCGTTTCCATCATCAGAGTAGTGGTAGGGTGTTTGTTCCTGCTAACTCAGAGTTGTTCTGTCTCGCCGCCTGTCTCGTGTTATAGGCATGCCTGCTACATGAACTCTGACCTGCCTGCTGGCGGGGGATTGGCTTAGGTCTCTCCGTGGCCGACCGCTGGGGCGCTGGTGTGACCTCTGACCCCCGTCCGGTCGCTGTTGTCGCTGCTAGGTCCGTGTACCCTTGGATCCACCCCCCCCCCTTAATTTTACCGGCTGATCAGCTGCCGTTGCATGTGGGAATCGTGGTCGGCTGTTTGGGCGCGTCGGTGGGTCGATGTCTCGCGTCGGTCGTCTGACACCCGGCTGGCTCTCTCCCCCTGCTGGGAAGGTGACAACTGTTGAGAGAGCCGCGATTTGTTCGCCAGTGCTGTCGGCCCCGTCCGAGCTGACTGGAGCCTCGTACGAAGGACCTGGTAGGCCGGATGAAGATCAATGGCTCTGTTTATTGTGTCAACTGAGGACCAACTTTCGAGAACCAGTCTGGCCATCTTGTCGCTCGCTCGGCCGATGACGCTCGCCTCCCCAAAGGCGAAACTGTGCTTCTCCTGTTGTATGTGGCCATATACCAGTGACAGCTTATCCTCGCGGTTGACTGCAAGCTGGTGCTCGTGCAATCTTGTGCAGAGGCGTTTGCCCGTGTCACCAACATACCTTGCCCAAGGGCACACGGACCTAGCAGCGACAACAGCGGCCGGGCAGGGGGCAGAGGTCACACCAGCGCCCCAGCGGTTGGCCACGGAGAGACCTAAGCCAATCCCCCGCCAGCAGGCAGGTCAGAGTTCATGTAGCAGGCATGCCTATAACACGAGACAGGCGGCGAGACAGAACAACTCTGAGTTAGCAGGAACAAACACCCTACCACTACTCTGATGATGGAAACGAGGAAGTTTCCGAAACGTCAGCACCAATACAGTGTGGTCCATGGCATCGCCTCTTTTTCTTCTTCGTCATCTTTTGGGGATGATGAACGGGATATATATATATTACTGATAGAATCGAAGATGCGCGTCCCCGGACATAAATGAGAAGAAGAGACAATCTCGGGAACCATAGTTGTATTGTCCTGACGTTTCAAAATCAAACAAGATTCCATCGTCGGAGGTGAGTTTTGTACCACGCCTCACAGTATTTATAGGTGGTGATGGTCTCCTTTCAACGGGTTTACCTCTCGTCGGGGGCCGGCGTTCGGGCGCTAGCCGTCATCGCACGTGTTCGCATGGATCTTAGTTCTCGTCCTAGGCTGGTAATCTTCTTTACGACCTCGTGACAGTTTGTGTTCTCACCTGCCGGATGAGTGGAAGTGACGCCGGCATCTTCGTCGGGTCCGGTTCTGTTACTGCGACCGTCCGTTTTCTCACCTGCCGGACAAGTGGGTGTCGCGACTGTTGTGATGATCGCAGCTTCGCCAGATCCAAGTTGAAGTGCAGCTGCGTTTGTGTCCCCCATGGACCCGGCCGTAATTGGGTTCCTTTCTCCTCGTAACCCGCGTTTGCTCGCCTGTTCTCTGAGCTGCGTCCGGAGGGCCTGGTAGGCTTCGAGAAGCGCTACACAGCGGTTGATGGAGTTCGTGCTGGTGTGCCAGGCCTCAATTGTTTCCCTGGTCACGCGATCATTTCCTCGGCCCAGGATTTCGGCACTCTGGAAAGCGAATGTGTGCCCAGAGTTTGCGCAGTGTTCTGCCACCAGGGATAACTGGTCCATCCTCCTTACGGCCCTCATGTGTTCTTTAACACGAGTCTGGAGTCGTTTACCGGTCTCCCCAATGTAGTTCATCTCGCAGGAGCTGCATTGGATCCGATAAATCACCTTTGTTGTTTCACCGGGTGGCAGCGGGGTCTTGGGTCTCATTACCAGATGCCGGATTGTTGACTCTGGCCGATGGGCAATGCCGATCCCCAGTGGCCTTAGGAGACGGGAGACCGCCTCAGAGACGCCGTCAATGTAAGGAAGGGCTCGCCAGACTTTTGGTCGTTCTGTCACTGGACTTCGACTTGGCACAGGCTGCCTGTTGCGTTCTATAAAATTTCGAGGATACTCGTTCGCCATGAAGAAGCGCTGAAGGTGGCGTAGTTCCGACCTTTTGTCGTCTGGCTCGCTGCAGTGTGTATCTGCCCTTTTGTATAGTGTGCGTACACAGCTGCGTTTGTGGGACAACGGGTGCTTGCTGTGGTAGCTCAGGATTTGGCGCGTATTGGCGGCCTTCCTATACACCGTTGTTTTCAGGTCCATTTGGGTTCCGGTGAACCAGTACGTCTAGGAACGGTAGTTCGTTGTTGCTTTCGGCCTCCATCGTGAATTGAATATCAGGCGAAACCGAATTGAGGACATTGTGAAAGGTTTGGACCATTTCCCGCTTGATGATGACAAAGGTATCATCAACATATCGAGCCCAAAATTTTGGCCTGTAGGTCTCGAAGACTTCAGTCTCTACCTTTTGGAGAACTGCTTCTGCGATGAAGCCTGAAAGCGGCGATCCCATCGGCGTCCCCTTGGTCTGTTCGTATACGCTCTCGTCGAAGGTAAAGGACGTCTTCAGGCAGAATTTCAGCAGTTAAATTAGATGAGTCCGTTTCACACTTTCTTCCGTCTCGTCGTACTTGCATTCGAGCAGTTCGCTAACCGTTTGGACTGCTAGGCATTGCGGGATCGAAGTGAAGAGAGCGGTGACATCGAATGACACAATGACCTCGTCTTCGCTGAGTCGGATGCCTTTGAGCCGTTCTAGGAACTGAGCCGCTGAACAGACGGTCGTGGCTGCGTTCGAGGTGAGAGACCTCAGTTTGCGGGATAGCCATTTTGCCAGATTATATGTAGGTGTACCGCGCAATGAAACGATTGGCCGGAGAGGGAGACCGGGTTTGTGTACCTTAGGTAGGCCATAGAAACGCGCTGGAGACGCATCTGTCGGCTTAATGGTCAGCCGTACCGATTTGCTTATTGCTTTGTTTGATTGCATGTCGGTGAGTGTCTTCTCCAGTTGCGTCACTAACGTCTTTATCGATTCCTCACCACATGGGAGGTACGCCTGTGGGTCCTCCAGTAGAGCGTTGGCCTTCTGAGCGTAATCTGTCTTATCCAACACTACTGTGGAACGTCTTTTGTCTGCCGGTAGTATTACAATGCTGGTATCATTCCTGAGTGCCTTGAGAGCGCTCTGCTCCGCTTTTGTAATATTAACAGTCGTGACACCCACTTGTCCAGCCGGTGAGAAAACGGACGTTCGCAGTAACATAAGCGGACCCAACGAAGGTGCCAGCGTCACTGCCACTTATCCGGCAGGTGAGAACACAGGCTGTCGCGGGGCCGTAAAGAAGATTGTCAGCCGAGGACGAGAAATAAGATCCATGCGAACACGTGCGATGACGGCTAGCGCCCGAACGCCGGCCCCCGACGAGAGGTAAACCCGTTGAAAGGAGACCATCACTACCTATAAATACTGTGAGGCATGGTACAAAACTCACCTCCGACGATGGAATCTTGTTTGATTTTGAAACGTCAGGACAATACAACTATGGATCCCGAGATCGTCTCTTCTTCTCACTGGAGGATCAAACACTACACAACCTGGAGAGCTGGATCTCGATAAAGGTGAACGTAGAGCGAGGGAAGAAGAGGGTCCAACTCCTGAACAAAATGCGTACCCTACAGCAGGCAGATGCAGCGATGTCAGAACCACCGTCCGTCCACAACCTCTCATCCAAACAGCTGACAGACGACCAGATTAAAGTGCTTCAGCACGAATCTGGATACAACACAGGTGACGCGCAGCCACTGGATTTTATTGCGGCATTGGAAGCGACACTC